GGGTAGTAAGCACGGTGCTGGAAACAAGTGTCCTTCCCAGTGGCTTTGCATGAGCTCTCAGGATGTCCACTCGCTAACTGTGAGGGAGGTCGGGTGTTGGGGAGGGGGAGTGTAGTCTACTGCTCCGGCGTCTGTGTCTGAATCAGCTCAGCTGTCCTGCGCTGTGTGCATGTAGCCCTCTCCTGGCACTCGTTCTGCCTCATGCCTCTCTCTCCCTCTCTGTCTCACTCACTCGCGCGCGCACACACACACTGCCTGCTGTCTCTCCAGCCCAGTCCCTCCTCGCAGAGCCAGCCTCTCTGTCTGCTGCTCTATAAACCCTCACTGTAAACAGCTCAACCTTCCCTGACAGACTCCTCCCCCATCCCCCCACCGCCTCCACCTCCACCCAGCCTCAGCGACTGCATGTGGGGGAGAAAGTTTCTGCAACAGAGACACGGAGACATGGGGAAGACAGACACAGAGAGAGAGGATCTAGCGAAATGCACCTGCATTGCAAATGCAGGAATAGACGCTGTGTACGTTGAATGCATAAACACTGCTACCAGCTGCCCTGTCCATGTGAGTTTCTTCTTACTGCCTTTTTTGAGACTTATATCCCACATGAGCCAAGGGAGAGGGAGTCATTACTAAACCCGTATTTTGAGGACTGTACGCTGTGGCAATGACAGAATCACAGCCTTAAGGAGGCAGAAATCCGATAAAATTATCTTTAGATTTTTTTTGCAATTTTTTTGCTGAATAATACATGGGTTCACAAGAGGTTTATGGTCCAAATGTCCCTAATAAGCTGCATTTTATGGATATATTCCATCTATCTAGGTGTATGTGCATGAAGTCCACATGCATACCATACATAGCCTGCTAGCCCAGACAGAAAGCATAAATAATGCCCTGTCTGTCTCTTACACTGAGGTGATCTCTTTATCTGACAAAGACACTCTGACGCAGGTGAAATATTCTTCGCCTGCAGCTGTTGCCATTAATTTGATTAAAGTTTTCAAATGAAGAATTTCAATTAAGAAGTAATCTTGGGGCTACATGAATAAGAAATTGTGCCAAGTCACTATTAACATTTGAATGCCAAATGTGAGATAGAATGAAAAATGGAGCTTGATGTCCTAGCATGACATTGGTTCTGTCATTAAACCTTCCAGAAAATGGACAATTATTATGAAGGATCTCTTAGCTAAGCAGAGCACAGGGCTGAATGTCTTAGCTAAGAATGTGCTGTGTCCCGAAATGGCACCAGCTGATCAAGTCTTAACTCCTGCGATCTGACTCTGCATTCAACGAGAGAAAGCAACGTGAGAGGTCTTTAAACGTACCGTATAAAATCATCTGAGATCAAAGCGAATATTTGTCTTTATTTAGTCACTATCGAGGGAAGGTTTCATTTTTACTTCCTTGATTTTCTTTTTTGCTCCATGCTCTTCCAACTACAGTCAACGCGGGTCACGCCGGTTTACTGATATTTGGAAAAAAAAATTAAAGTAGAAAGTGGTGTACTATGGAATGGGACTCTTGTGTTCTTTCCAATCATTTACACCCGTGCCTCACTTGGCGAACGTAATTCGCTCTCGGAAGTCGGGGTTCAGAGAGTCGCCCAGCGATTCAGAGATTCGCCCAGTCTCTGACAGAGACTTGAATCGTCCAAGTAGAATGTTTATAATATTGACCCTGTTCACGCCTAGCTCAGAAGTTAGATAGGCGCGTTAAAATCTGTCGGACGCAGGGGCGCTCAGGACCCTGATGGGAGACGTCACGCTTCGAGAATGACGTTTTCGGTTCAGGTTCGAAGGAGACACCTTTCGTTGTAATGGAAATCCCATCCTAAGCACGAAAAACAGGTATGAAAACGCTTCGTCACACTTGTTTATAGGCCTCGGGATGGTTGTATTTTCTTTCCTTTTTTGCTCCGAATTGATGTTTCCTGACATATGTGCCGCCTTCCCAAAAGCTGTGTTCTAAAAGGTTCCTCTGTCTCCCACCATTGAGCCACAGACACCGCAGAAAGAATGATGTATTCGCACAAAATATATCAACAACAGCAAACGCCAGCCGTTGGAAATGAGCAGAAGTCCGGACGGTTTTAAGATCTGCGTGTGCAATCAGGTCGGGGGTGGTTCTGCTGCGTGTGCGGCATTTTTACACCCCCGGCGAAAAGCTACAGGAAACGCACCTTGGGCCGCTGGGCTGGGCTTTTCATTTAATCAGCCCCGCAAATGTTTACGTTTAAGCACGTCGTCTGAGCAAAAGCAGACTGGCAGCCCGAGGCAATGGTCGCCCTGCTGTCGGGCAGGCTAGACGGCGGCAGTCGTTCGCTGACGGAGGCTGTGCAATTACGCCACAACACGCTTGTCTGGGAGCGACATTAAAAATGGACGCGATCCTCGAGGAACGGATCCCAGCCTGGTCAGTCTCCCATTTTGCATCACTGGCTCGCTGATTAGTGGCAATTGCTTGCATGCCTGTAGCTTATTCTTTTACACCATTCCTGCAGGGCTACACAAGTCAATCGCCCCTTTAATGGAATAGGTGTGAAATCGGTCCACGATGTCTATGTGCAGTCCATCCCGGGGATTTGCAGTGCACAGAAATCCCATGAAAGGATGTGCGGTACTACATAGGATCTTTTAGTAGGTGCCAGGATCTCAGGCTGAGCTCGAGACATCTCTCTGGCGGGCACACATGTTGGCGCAGGGGGCGGTTGTGGTGGGTTGGCCAGCTCGCCAGCCTGGCAAAGTAGATGAAGGGAGGAAGGAATGGGAATGGGGGCGCGGCCAGCGCTCTCACACGGCTCGGCTCTGGTCAACCCTAAACCCACGTGTTGCTGCTCCTTGGCATCCTGTTCCAAACCTCCGCGCTTTCGCCTCCAATCCCTCTCTCTCTCCCTCCCTCCCTCGGTCTCTCACTCTCTCTCTCTCTCTCCCTCTGCCTGCATAGCTGTGCGACTCTGACTCCTCTGCAGCCTGTGCCTCTGGACCTGCGCCCCAGCTCTCGGCCATGGCGGCGCTCCAGGAGCACGGGCCCTTCGGTCGGGCGTCCCGAGAGCTGCCCGCCAGAGGAGGAGGCAGCTGCCCGTGCTCTGAGAGCCGCACACCGCTGGAGAGCTCACAGGCGCCGTGAGCAGGAGTGAGACCGGCTTCAGACCTGGGCTTCCTGACTCCTGCCCTGTTGGGACGCTGACAGGTACGAGAGGCAGCGATCACAAGGAAAGAGACGCCTCACTCTATTAGGGCCGTGTTAAGAGAGCTGATTTTGTTTTCGCTGTTACCGCCAGGGGTTCAGTTATTCCCTCGCACATCTGTATTTTGCCACGCAAGTCAGTGTTATTCTAATAAACCGGCTGATTGGCGTGGCCATTCGCTGTTACTAAACCTTGAACAGCTGCCTCTGCACTGAGGCTTTTCTGAACTGTTTACTGTTACACTAAGGCTTCAGCTGAAGTCTATTAGAATGCATAATTGCTCCTGTGCCTTTACGAAAATCAATACAATCACTTTTCATTAGATTTACAGATTGTTCCCTTTTTCTGGATTTGCTACGCGAGTTTGTGTGAGGCTGTATGGTTGAGATGGATTATGTTGCGGGGTTTTTTTTAATTTGATGGTAGCTGCTAGATTAGTAACCATGGGGACAAGTCAGTTATTAACATCCCTAAGAGGAAGTGAAGGTTCCGTCAGGCACAGGCCCGAGATTCACTCACTTCCTATCGAGCTGGGTTATTTCAGGAATGCAGATGAGAGGCTCGAGCAGAGACTCTCCCTCCATGTGCTGTGGTTTCATGTCAGGGCTGTCGTCACCAGGTCCCTAACCCTACAGAGATTTGTCTCTCGCTTGGAAGACCAGGAACTGCTCAGTACACCTCCGTGAAAGAGGCCTTTTCTGGCTGCTAATAAGGGTGTCGTGCTTCAGCCCTCGAGAAGAGTTTCTTAGCAGACTTGTATTAGTTCGAGTAGGCAGCTGCGTCAGCATGTGTGGGCTGAGAGGAACAAGTAAAGGTTTATTCCCTGCTGGAAAGGCAAGAAAGAAGGGTTGAAGGAGAAGGCTCCACAGCTGAAACGCTGTGTTTCTTTTCTTCTCTTTTCAGCAGGGAATGAACCTTTACTTGCTTCTTATCGGACTCGGCTGCCTTCGCTGCGCTCTGTGTTGAAGAGGATTCTGCATTTGTAATTCATGGGTTTCTGCAATTTTGTTGGCAGACGAGGGCTTGTTGTTTCTTGCGCATCTCGCGTTCTGGGTTTTGTTGAAAATGTGTCTTTTTAAAAGCTTTGGTGCTCCTTCCAAGAGCCCTTGTGCGAGAGGGTGTCCAGCTGTGGCTGTCCAGCTGTGGCTGGCTGGACTGTAGAGCAGTAACTGGGTGAGCTAGAGTCTGTTAGGCACACGAAACAAAGCTTGCCACTGGCCTGGGAATGCAATCGGCCGATTGCTTGGCTTCTAATGGAATACAAATTATTTTTCATACATTGATCAGACCAGCAGACAGAGCGATAGATAAGTAGATGTTGATGAGTGGGGTGTAGGGGCTGGACTGTTCTTGGCCCGCTGTGATTCACAAGAAAACCCCTTTCTAATGAGGAAACTGCTGTCCGTCACCCTGTTCCCTTGCTTTCCTAGATCAGTGACGTACTGTAGGAAGGGCATTAAAAGCACCTTAGACTGTGTTTAAAGGAGTGACAAGCCTCCAGTTTTACAGTTCCCCACATTGAAGCATTTGTAATCTGTAAGGGAGATGGGACCAGAAATGAAAATAAGAGTATAAGACCAGTGTTAGCAGTGGGTTATTGAGGGGGATTTTTGGTACTTCGCTGGCAGTGAGTGTCAGTGGTCATTTTAAGCTTCCTGTTGGTCTCTGTGTTCCAACCATATAGCAATAAGGGCCCAAGGTGAGTTAACTTGTCATTTCTGTTGTGCTTTTTTAAAAACTTGCCCTTGTGCCCTTGCACAGCGGTTGAGAGTAACATGCCCAAAGTCTTCGGCTCTAAAACGCTAAGGCTGACGATGCTGAGTCCGGAGAGGACCGAGCAGAGCAGACAGCTGAGGAAAGAATGAGGAAGAGTAGAGTAGAGAACTGTCAGACTTCGGACCAAAGGTGAAGTAAGCCGCTCATGCAGGAAAGGTAGTCAAATCTTGAATTGCCCGCATCTTTAAGGCTTCCAAAAGAGGGAGAAGAAGTAAGTTGTTTTTCAATTCAGTTTCTCTTCAAAGTGTCTGGGTGACATTAATAAGTACACAAAATAAGCATCAGTTACAGTACATGTCTGCTTTAATGGTTCCTGAAAGAGTTCAGGAGCTCACAAAGATGTAAGGCATGCAAGAGTTGAAGTGAACATCTGTAGCTGCTGAGGAATTCGCATCTGTAAAACAAAATAATGTTGCTAAGAGCAGCATTGCCTGGCTAAACAAAATGTCCAAACCACAGTAAATATGCAGTTTAACATCCGACAGACTTTCTAATGCTTCTCTGAGAAGTGTTCTAATTTTCACAGGACTGCCTTCTGAAGTTCATCTGATATGCACAGTTCTGGCTGAATGCATACTTACTGGAAAATAAACGAGATTCGAAGTGGCCAATGTGAGATACATACAGATGTTATTCACGTATTCTTTACATAACCAAGCATTAACAAACACACACATGAGCTCTTTAATATGAAGTGCTGCTGTTGGTGTATTTCAATACAAAAGGCATGCAGGAAATGGCATAGCTTTGCTGCAGACTTCATTTCTTTAAATGAAAAAAAGAAATTAAAACATAGCAAGTGAAACTGGATTGGGTACTTACACGTACCAAGTAAATGTCAAACTAGCTTAGCTCGGATTGCAGGCAGATATTTATATAGAAAGAAAAAAAAAATAAAGAGGAAAACCTTTAAAACAACGCAGCTTGACAAGAATTGTGCTATTTCTAGCATGTCGGCCTGTGCAGTTTCCTGTTATAGTCTCTTAATAGGCTGCCTCCTCCAGCACATTGCTTAAAAAAACAGGTCACTGAGTGCACGTCAGAAATATTCAGTTTGACAAATATACTGACATTAGGCGGGCACAGCAAACATGAGCACAACACAATAACCCTGCGACCTACTTCAGCCCAACCGAAATCCCACAGCAGACACGGCTTCTAATTACTGCTCTCGTTGGGGGGAATTGGACCCCTTCCATCACACTGAGCAGCAGTGCTGTGGCTCTGTCTGGCAGATAAGGTCTTGCTTGCTCCATCGCGGAGAGCGATCATCTTCACAGGATTATACACTGTCTGAAACCGCAGGCAGGGCCTTATCTCTCCACTCTGAAATCCCCCAAAATCCCCTCTTCCCGAGCGCTGGAGCTGGGCTTCGCTCTCTGCTTTGTGTTCCCTATCTTTGCGGTGCTTGCTTTCACCTCCTGGGAGAAGGTCACACTGTTCCCCCTTCTCCCCCTTCTGTTTTCTTCCCTGCAGCAGGAAAGATTCAGGCGCTACAGCTGACAATTACACATGGCAAGCGTTGCTATTTGTTGTGGACCTGGTGCTTCCAGTTGTCGAAATTCTGTATGAATTGCACAATAAGCGATTTTGAGTTGAGAACCCATGTGAGCACCGTGCCAGTATTTCTATATTTCTGTCCCCTCCATTCAGTTATGCATCCGCTCACAAAGTTCCACACTGAAAATGAGAACCTAACCAATTCTGTTTTGCATTACTACACACTAAATCTTAACTGAGTGTAATCCGTTCAAGTCCTAACAGACATGGCTTTCTCATGGGAGAGAGTATATATATTTTCAGTAGTTCTTCTGAGTTTCTGCAAAGGATCGTTTTATGTAATGTACAGTACCTCAAACTACAGGTGCGTTGGTCCTGCCGTAGCATTGTGTATTGCTTGTGTTAAGCACATATTGTGCCTGATGTAGGGACGGGTTGTTTTGTGTATCCCTGTTGTTCAAAGGCGGTAAGCTTCTCTGGCGCTGGAGAAGTGGGATTATCTCGGGGCGTGCTTCTGCAACAGAGAGCGGAGAAGTCCAAGATCACGTTCCTCGCGAAGGCCTGACCTCTGACACCATTCCGGGAGCCCAGACGGCAGCCTGAAAAAAAATGAACCTGAACTCTCCGCCTCGCGGCCCCCGACCTGTGACCTCCATCACACGCCCTCCCCCCCGCAGGCCCGCTAGCACCACATGTTCACTCCCCAGAACAGAGACTCAGCGGCAGCCCTCAGAGCAGGAAAGAGAGAGGAGAAAGGGAAATAATCTAAGGCTTAAATCAGGTGTTGGCAAAGCAAGATTTACACATCTCTTGAGTGCATGGTAAATTATCAAGGCATTAACAGAGTTTTAGCTTTTACCCTAATCTCTATCCCATTGATTTGAGGCTCAACTGGCGTGCCACGAATACAGTACGATACAAAATTTCCTTGATGAAAGCTCATTTATCATTTGTGAGTCTACGGCAATGGGCAGAGAAAAAATAACCTGACCTCAGGTTTGCTTTGGTGGTGCAGCGCACGCTGTATTTTTAGCTCTGGGATTCGGCAGAGAGAGTTTCCAGGCTCTGTGGCCTCTGTCTGGGTTCTTTTCTTTCATCCCCGTGGCTCGGGGGGAGGCTTCAGACGCGTCTGTCTCAAGTCGGAAGACCAGGGATGTTTCAAATTCATCACCTGTTAGTCACCGCGCTGTTTTTTCACACCGCAAGGACCCCAGGCCACAAACAAGGAATCCAATTAATAACGAAGGGATGAAGTCATCCCGTGTGATGAGAGGGCCCCACCTTAGCTAGCTTATGACTCACTTCCTCACTTTGCCAGCAGGTGGCGTGCCAGGTGAGTGGGGGGCGACAGGTTGGCCCTCCTGCACCCGGGGGGGCCGGAACCGACTGCCTCTCTGGGAGTGGAGCAGAAGTGGGCGGCGCCGCCAGGCTACGGGACGCGTGGCGAAAGCAGGACAGATGCCGGAGCCCAGCTGGGCGATCGGCAGTGGGGCTAAGGGCTGGCACGCGACCTCGTGCTGGCGGCGGGCAAGACGGGCGGCACCGGCAGTGCACCGAGCAAGCCGCCAGCGAGCTGGGAAAGTAGTTCAGGTGGGTTGCTGTGTCAGCATAGCCTGCAGGGGAATAAGCGAAGGTTTATTTCATCCTGAAAAGACAAGAGACGCAGTGTTTCTGCTGTGGAGCCTTCTTCGGCTGTGACACAACGTTTCGGCTGTGGAGCCTTCTT